TGAGGTTGGTGGTGGGATGGAAATTGTTGAAATCATGGTGGAATTCCTCAAGGGCTTCTTTTCCATGGGTCCAGATGATGAAGATGTCATCAATATAGGCAAGTAGAGTAGGGGCTTTAGGGGACGAGAGCTGAGGAAGCGTTGTTCTTAATCAGCCATAAAAATGTTGGCATACTGTGGGGCCATGCGGGTACCCATAGCAGTGCCGCTGATCTGAAGGTATACATTGTCCCCAAATGTGAAATAGTTATGGGTAAGGACAAAGTCACAAAGTTCAGCCACCAGGTTAGCCGTGACATTATCGGGGATAGTGTTCTTGACGGCTTGTAGTCCATCTTTGTGTGGAATGTTGGTGTAGAGGGCTTCTACATCCATAGTGGCCAGGATGGTGTTATCAGGAAGATCACCGATGGATTGTAGTTTCCTCAGGAAGTCAGTGGTGTCTCGAAGGTAGCTGGGAGTGCTGGTAGCGTAGGGCCTGAGGAGGGAATCTACATAGCCAGACAATCCTGCTGTCAGGGTGCCAATGCCTGAGATGATGGGGCGCCCAGGATTTCCAGGTTTATGGATCTTGGGTAGTAGATAGAATACCCCAGGTCGGGGTTCCAGGGGTGTGTCTGTGCGGATTTGATCTTGTGCTTTTTCAGGAAGTTTCTTGAGCAAATGCTGTAGTTGCTTTTGGTAACTCTCAGTGGGATCATAGGGTAATGGCTTGTAGAAACTCGTGTTGGAGAGCTGCCGAGCAGCCTCTTGTTCATATTCTGACCTATTCATGATGACAACAGCACCTCCTTTGTCAGCCTTTTTGATTATGATGTCAGAGTTGTTTCTGAGGCTGTGGATGGCATTGCGTTCCGCATGGCTGAGTTTATGGGGCAAGTGATGCTGCTTTTCCACAATTTCAGCCCGTGACGTCGGGGAAGCACTCTATGTAGAAGTCCAGTCTGCTGTTTCGACCTTCAGGAGGAGTCCATCTAGAATCCCTCTTTCTGTAGTGTTGGTAGGGAGACCTCTGTGGATTAGTATGTTGTTCAGAGGTATTTTGGAAAGAACACTGTCCCCGATAATGTCACGGCTAACCTGGTGGCTGAACTTTGTGACTTTGTCCTTACCCATAACTATTTCACATTTGGGGACAATGTATACCTTCAGATCAGCGGCACTGCTATGGGTACCCGCATGGCCCCACAGTATGCCAACATTTTTATGGCTGATTTAGAACAACGCTTCCTCAGCTCTCGTCCCCTAAAGCCCCTACTCTACTTGTGACTTCTTCATCATCTGGACCCATGGAAAAGAAGCCCTTGAGGAATTCCACCATGATTTCAACAATTTCCATCCACCACCAACCTCAGCCTGGTCCAGTCCACACAAGAGATCCACTTCCTGGACACTACAGTGCTAATAAACAATGCCACATAAACACCACCCTATACGGAAACCTACTGACCGCTATTCCTACCTGCATGCCTCAGTTTACCTGACCAACCAGATCCATGTCTACAGCCAAGCTCTGGATACAACCGCATTTGCTCCAACCCCTCAGACAGAGAAAACACCTACAAGTCTCTGTCAAGCTTTCTACAACTACAATACCCACCTGCAGAAGTAAAGAAACAGATTGATAGAGCCAGAAGAGTTCCCAGAAGTTACCTACTACAGGACAGGCCTAACAAAGAAAATAACAGAACGCCACTAGGGTACCTTCAGCCCCCAACTAAAACCCCTCCAAGCATTATTAAGGATCTACAACCTATCCTAAAGGATGACCCAACACTCTCACAAGTCTTGGGAGAAGGCCAGTCCTTGCCTACAGAAGCCCGCAACCTGAAGCAAATACTCACCAACAACCACATACCACACAAAGAACCACTAACCCAGGAACTTATCCTTGCAACAAAGCCCGTTGCCAATTGTGCCCACATATCTATTCAGGGGACACCATCACAGGGCCTAATAACATCAGCCACACTATCAGAGGCTCGTTCACCTGCACATCCACCAATGTGATATATGCCATCATGTGCCAGCAATGCCCCTCTGCCATGTACATTGGTCAAACTGGACAGTCTCTACGTAAAAGAATAAATGACACAAATCAGATGTCAAGAATTATAACATTCATAAACAGTGGAGAACACTTCAATCTCTTTGGTCACGCAATCACAGACATGAAGGTCGCTATCTTAAAACAAAAAACTTCAAATCCAGACTCAGAGAAACTGCTGAATTGGAATTCATTTGCAAATTGGATACTATTAATTTAGGCTTAAATAGAGACTGGGAGTGGCTAAGTCATTATGCAAGGTAGCCTGTTTCCTCTTGTTTTTTCCCCCCCCCCAGATGTTCTGGTTTAACTTGGATTTAAACTTGAGAGTGGTCAGTTTAGATGAGCTATTACCAGAAGAGTGAGTTGGTGTGTATGGGGGTGGGGGGGTGAAAAACCTGGATTTATGCAGGAAATAACCGACTTGATTATGTAAAGAGTTGTCACTTTGGATGGGCTAGCACCAGCAGAGAGTGAATTTGTGTGGGGGGTGGAGGGTGAGAAAACCTGGATTTGTGCTGGAAATGGCCCACCTGTTGATCACTTTAGATAAGCTATTACCAGCAGGACAGTGGGGTGGGAGGAGGTATTGTTTCATATTCTCTGTGTATATATAAAGTCTGCTGCAGTTTCCACGGTATGCATCCGATGAAGTGAGCTGTATCTCACGAAAGCTCATGCTCAAATAAATTGGTTAGTCTCTAAGGTGCCACAAGTACTCCTTTTCTTTTTGCGAATACAGACTAACACGGCTGCTCCTCTGAAACTTGGTAGGACAGTTACTTTTCCAAGCTAATGATAGTTGTGTATATGTTAAGGCCACCGCTTTGCAAGACTTACATTTTAATCTCACTACGATCACAGGAAATCACATTATTTCTTGGCCTGCAGACAAAACCCTACAATTGGACCTTGGGTATCAGATTTCTTTTAATTGGACCACTTTGATACCCGACCGGTTTCAAAATTTACACTCACTCCTACCAGAGGTTAGGAAAATTTCTGACTTACAGGGTCAAATCCATGTGCTTCAGAATATATATCAAATTGAAAAATGTGCTTTTCATACTGCCTATAGAGCGTCTACTTTGTGTACTAATTATGATGTAATGTGCTATGTAACTAAGGCAATGAAACAACTCCAGCATATTATTACAACGGGGACATTAATGTGTGTATTGCTTTTGTTTAGTATAGTAATATGTTACTGTTGTTGTAAGGGACGTACTAAGAAAAATGCCTTTCATGTTCATACTAATAAGGCGTTATCGTTATATCCAGTTAAGACTTATAGGGCTGATTCTGATCCTCCTGAGCTAGAAACAGAAATACAAGGCTTGATGCAATTGGAGGTTTAAGAACGTTAGTTGTGATAAAGGAAGCACAAAAGCGGGGAGTGTGGAAGCAGGGAAAAAAAGAGAGGGTTTAAGTGCAGCCATTTAAGTGTCAGAAACAGAGCAACTGTTTTGTTAAGTCTTAGCCTAATATCGCGAGACCTGTAGAAGCAGGGCTCATGTCAGAAGCGAGTGGGAAACAGCAGAATAGTCAGTGTGACCTAGTCTTGAGATAACGACGTTTTGAGAAGAGAAAGTGAGAAAATACTGGATTAGATAGTAAATAGTCTAAATAAAATGTAGATGTTTTCAATTTCTGCACGTCACAAAGAGGTATAAATGTTTGTGTGATTTTGCTTGTACTTTGGAGAAACTGAGGCAGAGATGCTCTCTGTCAGCTGTTTTCTTCCCTTGCAATTGCTCGAATAAAGCTGTCTCTGATTTTGTTGCTTCCAACCTGAGAGTGGAGTTTGTTTTCTTCCACAATTGGAATTGGAAAAGGTTCAGAAAAGAGCAACAAAAATGATTAGGGGTATGGAACAGCTTCTTTATGAGGAGAGATTAAAAATCTGGGACTTTTCAGCTTGGAAAAGAGACAACGAAGGGGAGATATGATAGAAGTTTATAAAACCAAGACTGCTGTGGAGAAAGTAAATAAGGAAGTGTTATTTACTCCTCCTCCTAACACAAGAACTAGGAGTCACCCAATGAAAGTAATAGGCAGCAGATTTAAAACAAACCAAAGGAAGCATTTCTTCACACAACGCACAGTCAACCCGTGGAACTCTTTGCCAGAGGATGCTGTGAAGGCCAAGACTAGAACGGAGTTCAAAAAACGAACAAGGTAAATTCACGGAGGATAGGTCCATGAATGGCCATTAGCCAGAATGTGCATGGGTGATGTCCCTAGCCCCTGATTGCCAGAAGCTGGGAATGGACGTCAGGAGATGGATCACGTGTTGATTTCCTGTTCTGTTCATTATCTCTGGGGCACCTGGCCTTGGTCACCGTCAGAAGACAGGATACTGGGCTAGATGGAACTTTGATCTGACCCACTGCGGCTGGATTTATGCACTAGGGAGTTTAGTGAGCCCAGTGTAATGGGAGGGAGCAGGAAAATCCCTGGGTGTGCAGAACACCGGGAAGTTAGAAGCCATAATTCAGGAGCAACAGACCCTAATGAGTCTGGAAAAGCTGAGTGTGAAAAATAAGAATCGGTGCCATGTGACTCTGGCAATGAGAGGAGCCTGCAGAGAAGAGAGATTGTGGCTATTACACACGGCGAAGGGGGAGCAAGGCTCCCAATGTCTCAAGAAGTTTCACTACCAGCCTAGGCCATTCTGACACACTGAGATACCATCCAGACCATCTGGGTGAGTTTCACTATTCTGCTGCTGGAGCTCCCTTGTCTGGATGCTCCCAGGCAGCATTCAAGGACACACTCAGTGTCTGTGTGACAAGTAACCCTTAAGCAGCAGCTCTGTTTCCAGCAGCCGGCTTGGGCGATGGAGCTCCCGACTCTCCAGGGACCGGAAGTGACGTTGGGCAGAGGAGGAAGGAAGTCCCCCCCGGGGCAGGATGGGAGATGTAGTTCTTGACTCTCCAGGGAGCGGAAGTGACGCTGGGCCGGGGGAGGACGCGCCGGGCAGTGAACGCGCGCGGGGCGCTGCGGCTCTGCCTGGCTCGTGCGGGGCCGTTGGATCCTCTCCCGGAGCCGGAGAAGAGTTTTTGTGTCTCCCGGCTCTGGGCATGCGCAGATCGGGGGGTTGGGGAGAGCCCCGCATGCGCAGAGGCAGAGCTGCCCCGCTGCTGCTCCCTGGGGCTGGGGGCCGGGCTGAGCAGAGGGTCTGTGCCGGGGAGACCTTCGTTAACTCCCCGTGCCCGGCCCGGGCCCTGCTCCCGCTGGAGCCACCCCGTGCTGCGGAGCTGCAGCCTCCAGGTACCGGAGCGAGCCCCGGGGGCGGGGCCGGGGCCGGGCCGGGCCGGGCGGCGACTCTGCCCCCGTGTCCGGGGGGGACCAGGCATCTGGCAGCGGCGGGATCTGCTCCCTGGGGGGCCCGCGCCGCGGGGTGGGGGGCTCGGAGCTGCTGCCTCAGCAGGAGCCCCGCGCCCCGCGGGCCCGGCCAGGCTCTGCCCTGGGGTTCCTGCGTGTGGCTGGGCGGGAGGCTGCCGGGGTCTGGGAAGGGGCGGATGGGAAATGTCTGTGCAGCCCGGACGTGGGCGGGAGGGGAGAAGAGCAGGAGACCCCCAAGGAGTGGGGAGAGAAGGGGGGGGGGTGAGATCCCCTCGGATTTCCCGCTGCCCTGGGGACCCCCGTCCTGCCCCCTTTCTTTCTAGAGAGCAACGAGCAACATCCAGGGTGACCCCCCCCGCCCATATCGCTGAGAGGGTCTTTGTTCTCCTCCCCCCACTGTACCCCATTAGCTCCCCACTTCACCCGTGGCCCGTTCAAATCTCAGGTTTCTGGTGTCTCCGCCCCATTTTTACCTGCAGTGACTTGTCCTTTTTTCGGTGGGAAATCTTTCCCCTGAGTGATTTCTGAACTGGCAAGAGGGTTAATGGGCAGAGGCTGGGAGAGCCCTGAGACAGGGGTACGGCTGGGCTGGGCTGGGGGGCCACTCTCTGCTGGCCACAGGGCATGGGAAGGCCCAGGAAGGGGAGGGAGGAGCAAGCATCCCCCAGGGAGAAGGCTCAATCCCAGGTTTCCAGTCCCGGCTACTTCCCCCACCCTGCCCAACCCACTGCCTGCTAGTCACATTCCCAGACACCATGGCCAGCCCCTCCCCTTCTGACCTGACTCCAGCCCCACTCCTTTCCCCTGTGAAGGCCACATCACCCAGGGCTCCCTGCTGGCCACGTGAATGTGAGGCAACAAGAATCCATCCCATTCTGTTGTTGTTCCCCTCAAACTTTCCCTCTTTTCTCTTGACCTGTTAAATGGTGACATAACATCTCCTCAGATGCTGGGCTTCTCTCTTATATTGGCAGATCCTTAGTTTGTGCCCCATTTTCTCCTCAGTTCTGAAATACTGATATCAAATTCTTGAAAATCTTCCTGCTTTTCTCCGCAGGTGTCTGCGTGAGATCAGGGCTGTTATTGTTCTGAGCATGGCTCAGGCCTTGACTGAGATCAGGTGCCCCAGTGTGCCGGGCACTGCACAAACCCTAACCAAGTTTGGGGCACCTTTTGTGCCAGGAACTGCACAGACCCTTACAGAAAGCAGGGACCTTGCTGTACTGGGTGCTACAGTGACCCCGACTGAGCTCCTCCCCCTTTTTGTGCCAGGCCCTGCATCAACATCAAGTGAAATCAGGCTCCAGTTGTGCCAGGTACTGCAGAGATGGCAAACAAAATCAGGGACCTTGTTGTTCCTGGAGCTGCAGAGACCCCAAGTGAGATCTGGGTCCTGTTCCGCCAGGCACTGCAGAGACCCCAACATAGGTCAGACCCCGCTGTTGTGAAGATCCCAAGTGAGATCTGCACCCCTGTTGTGACAGGTAAAACTGAGATCTGGACACCCACCCCCGTGCAAAGGAGTGCAAGACTCTGGCCCAGATTAGAATCTCATAGAAGATCAGGGTTGGAAGGGACCTCAGGAGGTCATCTAGTCTAACCCGCTGCTCAAAGCAGGACCAAATCATTGGAGCCAGGGCTTTGTCAAGCCTGACCTTAAAAACCTCTAAGGAAGGAGATTCCACCACCTCCCTAGGTAACCCATTCCAGTGCTTCACCACCCTTCTTGTGAAAAAGTTTTTCTTAATATCTAACCTAAACCTCCCCCGCTGCAACTTGAGACCATTACTCCTTGTTCTGTCATCTGCTACCACTGAGAACAGTCTAGATCCATCCTCTTTGAAACCCCCTTTCAGGTAGTTGAAAGCAGCTATCAAATCCCCCCTCATTCTTCTCTTCTGCAGACTAAACAAACCCAGTTCCCTTAGCCTCTCCTCGTAAGTCATGTGCTCCAGCCCCCTATTAAGAACATAAGAATGGCTGTACTGGTTCAGACCAAAGGTCCATCCAGCTCAGTATCCTGTCTGCCAACAGTGACCAGTGCCAGGTGCCCCAGAGTGAGTGACCCTAACAGGTAATGATCAAGTGATCTCTCTCCTGCCATCCATCACCCACGTTTGACAGAGGCTAGGGACACCATTCCTTACTTATCCTGGCCAATAGCCATTAATGGACTTAACTCCATGAATGTATCCAGTTCTGTCTTAAACCCTGTTATATTCATTTTTGTGCCCTCCGCTGGACTCTTTCCAATTTTTCCACATCCTCCTTGTAGTGTGGGGCCCAAAACTGGACACAGTACTCCAGGTGAGGCCTCACCAATGCCGAATAGAGGGGAATGATCACGTCTCTTGATCTTCTAGCAGTGCTCCTACTTATACAGCCCAAAATGCCGTTAGCCTTCTTGGCAACAAGGGCAAACTGCGGACTTATATCCAGCTGCTCATCCACTGTAACTCTTGGGTCCTTTTCTGCAGAACTGCTGCCTAGTCACTCGGTCCCTAGTCTATAGCAGTCTATGGGATTCTTCCATCGTAAGTGCAGGACTCTGTACTTGTCCTTGTTGAACCCCATCACTTTTATTTTGGCCCAATTCACTAAATTATCTAGGTCCCTCTGTATCCTATCCCTACCCTCCAGCTTATCCACCACTTCATACATAGTCTGTATCCATAACTTCAGATACAAACATGATACATGCACACAAATAGGATAATCATATTCGGCAAATCATAACTTTTCCAATGACACCACACATGATGCATATTGCACAAAATGCATTATAATTCTGTCCTAATCATATTATAATCATACCACTATGCTGAATATGGGGTGTCCTGTCAGGCAGGGTCTTATTTCAAGGCACAGGAGTTGGGAATGGAACTTCCCCTCTTTGTGGAACAGGAAATAACCCTCCAGCCAGGGCTGGGAAAATGTCCCAGACTTCCAGTGCTGGAGCCTGAATCTACTGACACTTCATTAGTTACCACCACTCCCAGTCTTTGTGGCAACTGCAAACTTTATCAGTGAGGATTTTATAGTCTCTTCTAGGTCATTGATAAGAATCTTAAATAGCACAGGGTCAAGAACCAATCCTTGCAGGAACCCTCCAGAAATAGATCCACTCAACCATGGATCCCCATTTACAATCACAGTTTTTAATCTATTTAACGTATGCCAGGTTTATTTTGTATAATTCTAGTTTTTTAGTCAAAATATTGTGCTGAACCAAGTCATATGCCTTACAGAAGTCTAGGTATATTGCATCAATACGGTGAGCTGGAGCTGGTTCGCACCGGTTCGCTAGAACCAGTTGTTTAGAAGCCCTTTTAGAACCGGTTGTTCTGCGAGGGACAGCTGGTTCTAAAAGGGCTTCTAATTTTAACCGGTCAAAAGTGGCGCCTTGGCCGACTCCACGGGTGCTCCAGCCCTGGAGCACCCAAGGGGAAAATTTGGTGGATGCAGAGCACCCACTGGCAGCTCCCTTCCCCACCCCCGGCCGCAGCTCACCTCCACCTCCTCCCCTGAACGCGCCACCCTGCTCTGCTTCTCCACCCCCCCAGGCTTCCCGCAAATCAGCTGTTCGTGTGGGAAGCAGGCCCAGGGAGGCGGAGGTGAGCTCAGGCGGGGGAGGAGGGCCACCTGCACCGCAGCAGGTAACCGGGGGGGGGGGGAGGAGATGGGATGGGAACCGCTCCCCGCCCCAGCTCACCTCCGCCACCCTTGGCCTGAGCGTGAAGCCACTGCCTGCTTCTCAGCCCTCCCAGGCTTCCCGCCGAACAGCTGATTCGCGGGAAGCCGGGGGGGCGGGCGGGGTGTGGAGAAGCAGAGCGGGGTGGTGCGTTCAGGGGAGGAGGCGGAGCGGAGGTGAGCTGGGGCCAGGCACGGGGTGGGGAGCTGCCGGTGGGTGCTCTGCACCCACCAATTTTCCCCGTGGGTGCTCCAGCCCCTGAGGCGCCACTTTTGATGTGATCAGTGGGGGAGCGGTCGCTCCCCCCTAACTATGCTCCCCCGCACCTAGGAGCCAGAGGGACCTGCCGGATGCCTCCTGGGAGCTGCCCCAGGTAAGCAGCCCCGGGACTCCCCTCCTTGCCTCCCGGAAGGTGCCTCTGGCTCTTAGGGGTGGGGTGGGCACCCACTACAGTGGCCCACGAGACCTTCCTGCCCGGTTCTGGGGGCAGTCAGGGGACAGGGGAGGGAGTGGATGGGGCAGGGGTCCTCGGGGGGGGGGGGGTGAAGGAACACGGGGGGGTTGGGTGGGGCAGGAGTCCCGGGGGGGGAGGAGTGGGCAACGACCCCCTCGTGGGGTGAGGAGGGAACCCGTTGTTAAGATTTTGGCAGCTCATCACTGGCTGCAACCAAACTTTTGATCTCATCCACTAAGGATATCCAATTAGTTTGATAGGATCTATTTTTTCTAAACCTTTGTTAATGGGTACTAATTATATTACCCTCCTTTATTTCTTTATTAATGAAATCCAGTATTGGATGCTCCATTATCTTGCCCAGTATCGATGTCAGACTGACACGCTTTTAATTAGCTGGGTCATCTCTCTTACATTTTTTAAATATTGGCACAGCATTAGCTTTATTCCAGTCTTCTGGAATTTCCCCAATGTTCCAAGTCCTAAGTAAATTCAACCTTAACAGTCCACCACACTCCTCCACCAGGTATTTTAAAACTCTTGGATACTAGTTGTCTGGACCTGCTGATTTAAACATGTCTAACTTTAATAGCTGCTGTTTAATGTCCTTGTGAGTTATTGTTGGAATGGAAAGAGTGTTGTCATCAACATCTTATGATATGACTACATCATGTGTTTTTATCCAAACCCAGGAGAGAAATATTTATTGAACACTTCTATCTCTTCTGCATTATTTTTGATAATTCCACCATTTCTGTATAGTAATTTACCACTACCATT